GTCTTTCCTCAAATAAATGCTGTCACAACCAAGACTACGAAGACTTCATAGTATGTATGTATGTATGTATGTATGTATGTATGTATGTATGTATGGTTAGGTATTCAATGTTGACATGTCAAAGGAAGTGGTTATCATAAATTATTCTCAGATATTTTACCGAGTCCAATTGTAGTATGTTCTTCAGGTTGCACAATATTTATTGGTACCTGGTTTAACCAAAGGAAAAACATTAATTGCGCTCTTTTAAACATTATGGCGTAAATAGATAACCTGTAACCAATTTTCAACGACGCACATACACGCTTGTAAGCGATTATGATAATGAATGCGTATACGTGTCTGAATAAGAAATGATGTACCATCTGCATATACATATGCGTATACATCAATACGAATAGGAATAGTGCTTAGCAATATAATAAAAGGAGAGGCGACGTGACTGCTCGCTGCGGAACTTTTCGAAACTGGAAGTGTACATTTCACTAATTACGTTTTAGTGAAAAATTCCCTTCAATTGAAAAAACTCGCGAAACCACCTCACCATATAATTAGGGATATCATGAAAATTTAATTAATCCAATGACAGTTTCTGTTATACACTATCGTATGGTTTTGATATATAAAAAGTTACCAGTGCTGCTGTTTGTCTGTGACAGTGTGACAATCTGATTCGGCTCTTTTAGTCTACATGGGCATGCCAAATAAAACATACAGTTCTAGAACCGATTTTGAAAAGAGTGACAACTTCTCAATTGTTCACCAACCTAATAAGACGAACATAAACGATTTTTCATGTTGATTTACCAACTTTAGAAATTAACGCTGTTGGTCATATATCTGGGATGACTGCCGCTTGGGCGTGTTAGTAAAAGTTCATGATGAAACAGACGCTAAAATATACACACACTTAGAGAGAACGCAGATGAGCACTTACGAGCAACTGAAAATTTAATTTAAAAGCGAACAGTAGTATATGCTTAGCACATATGTACGTTATTCCTGACCTCCCCTTGTCCTCATCAACAACGTGATGTATCAAACAACTACTTTTATAACCGATGGCACACAACCGGAAACAAACACGTGTAAATACTTGTTTTTGGTTTTACTTCCTCTAAATGATCAAGTTTTGTCGTCTTTCCAACAGACCGGCCCAACGAAAAGGCCGCACCAGACATCAGTCCGAAGACCTCACTAAAATAATAAACCCATAGTAGTGACGGGCGGTGTGTACAAAGAACAGGGACGTAATCACTGCGAGCCTATGACTCGTGCTTACCGGGAATTCCTCGTTCAAGGGGAAGAATCGCAAGCCCCTTTCCCAATCACAAAAGAAGTTCCACAGGTTACTCTGTCTTTTCAAAGAGAGATAAGACACGCTGCTCTCTTCAGTGTAGCGTGCGTTAGGCCCCGGACATCTAAGGGCACCACACACCTGTTATTGCTCTGTTTAGTGCGGCTAGGAGCCGCTCGTCTTTGTAAGAAGGTTGTAAACTGCTGGGAACCCTGCACCTATTTAATAAGTTTGGAAAGAGGTACATGCGTGTTATGGATAGATTAGTGTTCACTTCGAAATAACATTTTCAGTTGCCAGTAAGAGCTAGTCTGTGTCCTCTCTTAGTGCGTGCCTATTTTGGCGCTTGTTGCATCATAGGTCTTATATTGTCCAAGGTGTATCCCGCACAATTGTTTATAGGAACTGGAGGTCTTTTAGCAATTTTTCAATATGATGAATCCGCGCACATTTGATATAAAGGTGGACAATACCTAGTAAAATATCAGGGGACTCCTTGCAAAAAAATGAGAGATCTGCCGTACCTCGGAATCGACGTTATGCGAAGCATTTGGAAGGAAGGTGACCCAGTTGCAGTTTTGTTTTATTGAGCGACACGTTGTGAAAAGGCTCTAAGTATATGTTCAATCGTTGCACGCAAAGACGTATGTTGAAGAGTTGCAGATGTTTATATAACCAGTTGCTTGCACTTGCGGAATGATGCCAACTGGAACAAGCGTATTAGCAACACCAGAAGCCTCTAGGAAATGCTGATGCTCGCGCAGATGCTGGCCTTGGCCACTGCTAAATATGTCAACTTTAGCGCATGGCACCTAACCACAATTGACCTTAACTCGACGTGTTGCCTGTATCAAAGGAGTGCATATTTAATTTTTATAAAAGTAGGTAGGCAGCACTGCAACCACTATTGACGTTTCACGAAGATTAGCGTCGATTTGAAAAAAAGTTCCGAGGCCTGGCGTAGCTCTTTTAGAGAATGCTTGACTGCCACGCAGAACGCTCAGGTTTGATTCCTGCTGGGACCCTGAAATTCATTATTTGCATTCATCGAGAGGTCAAAGCTGTCTATTTCAGGTTTTTCTCGACACTGACATTTATTTTGTGCCATCAGTGGGTCGACGCTATTGATGTCGGGTAGTTCTTAACGCTACGCATTCTAATATCCCATCTGTGTTCTCATCGATCCTAGGTTGATACTAAGTGTCAAACACAGGTGGCACATACGCGTCTGGCGGGAAGTGTTTTACGATGATTGTGAGATAATTCATGTCTTTACCAGCGCGTCATCTTCGTCAAACCATCTTACCCTCCCATGCAAATTTTGGTTCACGCCAAGTTAAGGGGGTGACCACGAGAGCACCCAAACGTATCGGTGAAATAGACAGATAGATTGATATATGCGCTCAGTGTCGCCGAAGTTCGCTAAGAAATGCTTCGCATTTTAAAGATTATAAATTTTTGTTCTCTACCGTTACCAACTGGAGCGCAATTTGCAAGTCGATCATTGTATAACAAGTAGCAAACCGGACGTGCGTCTTGTTGACCTCCCGGCCTTTCAATTCTTCCCTTCCTCCTCCTCCTCCTCCTCCGGCATACGTTGGCATGTTCAATTATTGATACCTCAATTGAATTCATCACACGGTATTTCAGAATATGAGAGAAGGAAATTTGCTTTTGCAGCCTTCGATATATTTTTTAACATTTGTTTTATTTCATCATCCCCAGAAATCCACGTATCACGCCCATTATAAAACTTAGAGCCGTGTCAAAACGGCTAGTACATTTAACATCGTAAGGAAAGTATTGTTTAGATTTTATATCGGAAAACACCCCGTAAGCACTAGCTCTGTGGTTATAATTTCACAGCCTGGATTTATAACTTGGATAATACGACATATTTTACTCGAAATGAAAGTGACTAGACCTTGGCCTCCAGTTGGACAGTCGAATCCAAAACACCTGTAAGACTGTAAATGAAAACACTGAAGTACTTTCAACGACCCAATGGTGAAAACAAGTCTGGAAGTCGAAATAGGCTCTCGAGTATGGAATAGATTTTGACTTACCTTTCTTTTATTTAGGATAGAAGTGAGGATAACAGGACGAGTCCGCACTGACAGACGACATTGCTCTCTTTTAAGCCTTAGTAATATGTTCTGAATCTGTCCTTTCCATAAAGCGATGCGCTGATTTTGAAAAACAAGGAGTAGAGATAAGCTTGTTTGATGCAAAATCACACTCAGAGGTAGGCTTCCATTTGATTTCGTCACTAGCACGCCGTATAGGTTTTGCTTTTAAGCAAGGTGCAAACATTACACAGCAGATCGAATTGCGCGTATAATTTTTTTCCAAAATAGCCTGCGAAATACTGTCTCCCAGGTTCCTCAACAGCTGGTTTATTGCCTTTGTTCGTCAATGCCTTCTGCCCAGCCGCTTCCATATTTGCTCTGAAATATTGTTTCGCCTGATAAATTAGCCAGATTTCATTGATTCGCGGCAAGCACCAGCGGCAACTTTTCAGAAATACCAAAGCGGCTACGGAGTGCTCCCAGCAAGGGCTTCTATTCACCTGATTGATTCGGCTGCCTAAATCCATTGAATAGGGAGTTATTTATATTTTATTGTATATTTACGGCCGTAAATATTGTTCGTACGCATTCGAACATACCTTCTGCCACAGTAAAGGTAACGCAGCTGGTAGCTCGCATTTACCTTGTTTCTGTATTTTTTATTATTACTGGGCTCATTTCTTAAAACACCCTGTATATGTGCGCACAAACACACGCCAAATCACACATCAAGCAAAGTCAGAACACAATAAAAATGTGTTTGTCAAAAACCCGGAATAGGCACATTCATGGTTAAAAACCTGCTTGTGTGTAGACAGGCTTACACTGAACTATTTATTTTATCGCTTTTCATGGGCTTGTGCACAAGCAAATAGCCACAAGTTCCTTATGTGAGCCACATGCTCCAATAATATTGGGTTTCATTTGTTGAAAAAAAGAAGAAAAAATCAAATAATATGTGAGGTTCAACATCTCAAAACCACCATTAATTATAAGAGACGCCGTGGTGGAGGGCTCCGAAAATTTAGAACACCTGGGATTTTTTAACATGCAGCCAAATCTCAGCAAACGGGGCTACAACAATAATATTTACTAACTCCTCTCTTCACAGGCATATACGCATGGGACGAGGGAGTCTCAAGACTTTGATAAACACATACACCATCTGCCCAAAGTACCAGTGATAGTCACGTCACAGACACCGGGAGTTTAGGAGGGGGGGGGGGGACTCGGGCATCAGCCTTCTCCACCCTCTTTTCTCCTTTCGGGTCAGTGTGACCCCCCTTCCCCCCACAAAAATATTTTCTAGGTACGCCACTGGTTTATTAACTGTTTGCTAACTAATATTCTCCTAGCGTGTGCGCGAAATGTAAGCCTTTGATCCCGCACTATCGCACAGGTATCTAGTATGCTCCAAAAAAGTCACCATGAGCCTTAGTAGTTCATGATGCCCTTCTGTTTGTATGGCCACATTTTCTTTATTGTAGTGTTCCTCTGCAGTATTCGACCATACAAATCCTGCAGTCGCTCGAGTAGCACTCCGTACTGCTGAGATTCCTCCGCGCTTCAGTCATCGCTAAGTTGGGAGCAGGCTGCACTTTTGTACTTGGCATATTGTTCTACAAAATGCTTCATCACAGCCTGCTGCAGGACCTGCGGGTACGACGAGTTTCCGAGAGGCAAGCCTCAAGTGCGTCGCAAATCGCGACCGTTAGGGTCTGGAAGCGCTGTTTGGCGTTGTGACCGGTCGTCTTTTTAAGCCAAGTTTGGAATTCCCGTCCCAGTGCAGGTTCGTTGGCTAACGGCTGCTCGATGAGCAACAACTGGATCGAAACCACCACCGTCTTAAGGGTCATCTCCGGGTTCCACGAGGGTCCGTGAAACGTGCCCGGAATGCTGAGCGAGACGAGCCCACTGCTGTACAGGTTCGGATTGAAGCGCACCCTTTCGCCGTCTGTCGTCATGAAGCGTACCTGCGGTGGACAGGCTGGGTTGTCAAGGAGGAACTTGAGCACGAAATGGAACAAGCCTCCCTGGCACGGCGTGTTGTCGGGTCCCACGATGACGGCGTGGACGTAGGTGACGTTGCCTTTTTCGGGCTCGACGAAGATTCCTGGCACAGGGTTGTCAATGATGTTCTTGAGGTCATGGTTGAGTCTCAGTAGACACTGCCCCGATGGCTGCTTGGGCTGGGCCAACGCAGTCTCCAAATTGCACGTAGCTGCACTTCGCCGAGATTCGTCCATGACCGAATAAGGGGCGGCGGTGGCTGTGAGTGGACGTCGCTGCATTGTGGTGGCAGTTTGCGCAGATGATGATACTATACAATGGCTCCCACCCACTATGAGGTATTGACCAAGAAAGGAGTTATTCATAATAAAGTGATCGCATAATATTTGTGTGACTAATTATACACAATACTTAGAATAAATAATGATGCCAATCACGATGAAAGCCACCCTGATTCATTTAAATGTTTCTGTACCGCAGAACGGAGATCTACAAGGGCGTAATGCTCCCAAGGATTGAATATTTGAAACTTTACTTCCAATATAATGCAATTGAACACCGTTTTGGAAAATTTTCTCATCCAAAAATTGAAGCGGTCGCATTGCAAGAAATCGTGCTTGATTCTTTTCCCACCGTAGTAAAACGAGCAACGTGGGGACGGAGACAGACCACCCATGGGCATATAATTCTTTAATTTTTGAAAGCGACAGGGAGATCTTGTAAAAATAACTGCCTTTTGTCGTGTTGAATAGAAGGTGTGTAAATACACGGTTGAGGGAGCATGACTCGGCATTACGTAGTTTAGGACGAACACAACTGGTGGATCACTGCAAGTCTTGTGGGTGCGTACCAATTTTTACAGACACAAAGATTCTGTCAACTCACAAGAGAAAAATTAACAGGGAGTTCATTGAAGCATTCCATATTAGAAACATGGGAGAAAAATGTGTTAGCCAAGCTTCCGTCACCTTGTCCGATAAAAAATTTGAGTTTTTGAAAGGCACGTGCAAGAATCCCTCTGCAGATGCATGAACTTTTCATATTTTGTCGTTTTGTGGTTCTTATCATGACGTAGCGCTGAATAAGCTTTCTTTAGGTTATTTCGTGTGTTCCTGGATCCACCGATGGGGGTGGCGTGTGGGCTACGTGAAGATATAAGTACAGTTCGTTGTTCAAAATAAACCAGTTGTGAGTTTGCGCCCGTGTTGTTTGCCTCTTTTCCTTGTGTTCATGTACGTGTTTGCGCAAAGAAGTCATGAATAGAAACTCCTACGCCAAGGAAACATGAGGTGTTGATACACGTATATATGAGCAAATAATGTTTTTTGAGTGTCTTGCATTTTGGCACGTTTTCTAGATCTGTCACGATTTATGAGAGTTGTTGTCGGTATAATTGAGAATTTCGGAACCCAGAAACTAGCTTTCGCTAGAGCGTGCGCGATTTCTTTCGTTTTTATCCCTTTGTGGCCTGGTACCCAGAATAACCTGGTTACACTTACGTGTATAGAGACCAGAGAATGAAAACTGCGTGATAAATGAGAGTCGCTTTTTGGGGGCTATGCTGAGCACAAAAATAAAGATTTTGTAACTATATATGGCCATATTTGATGTTGATGGGGAGCTTCCTAATGCTGTTATAACCGCCAGAAATTCCGTCGAAAATGATGATAAAATACTGGCAAGCGCTGTATTGAAAAGGACTTATTGAAGGTCTCGAAGATTATACCAGTTCTGCATTTCGCCTCGGATTCTGAGGAACCTGATAATAATTGTTATATTTATCCTCACTAAATGCCACTGTAAAAGCCCATTTAACACCTGGTAAGAAAGAAACAAAGGAAAATAACTTTGTTTTTATTCGGCGGAAGATGACAGGGTCTCGCATCTGGCTGAGCCCCACGTAGACACCGGTAATGCAACTTTTTTCGAATAATTGGGCTATAGATAGTCAAAATGACTAAGACGTACTGTCTTTCATCCCCAATGGAAGAGAGTTCATTTACATTACCATCGACTGGTTCAACAAGTGCTTGTGCGTAGCTAAGCTGCGGTTTATGAAACCAAGGCCAATAAGATAGAAAAAAATTAAGTCTCGCTGATTCATAAAAATTGTTTTTAGGTTTATCATAGATTGATAATTTATGGGAATGCTTGCACTGTTAATATTCTCAACCAGCCAGAGGTTGACTTTGCTTCTTAATAGAGGCCATTATTGACTATATTATTATCGGTAATCCAAGCCTTAGGGCCTCTCTTTCTAAGGGTATAAAAGAGGATGCAGTTTATAAGACGACGCTTAAGAATATAAAACACATTCGAATTTTAATACTGGGCGTACATACGCTTTGTGAACCAATATTAGTGTGCCTATCTTGCATCCCCGATCGACCTTTGCCCAACTTTTTGTAGGGATTCCAGCGCCCGTACTTCTAAATATGTATGTATGTATTGTATGTATGTATGTAAGTATTGTAGCGATGCTGAGGCAGACAGGCTAAAAAATAAGCAACTTTATTAGGGCGAACTTGTGCCCACAAGTCTAATGGCTATGGTCGTCGAGTCCGAGTAGCCGTGAGGCACAGATTAAACTAACTTCCTCTTCCTCGTTGTTGGAGCGCACGAACGCGTGACGAATGGCAGCCGGGTCTTGCTGGTGCTCTTGCCATGATGATTGCGGCGGCTACTTGAACGTGGCCAACCTGTCGCGGCATTATCCCCCTCCTCAGACGCATCGTCCCGATGCTTGAGAGAGTGAAATGATACATGCGACCTCTCACTCGTTTTCCGACGATCTGTCATGATAAGGCTTCATGCGGACTACGTGTACCACTTCCGTGGTATTGCGGCGTCTTGAGCTCACGTGTCCCGCGGATCTGACTTCATAAGTGACGTCGCTGATACGGTTGAGTACTTCATAAGGGCCGAAGTATTGACAAAGAAGCTTTTCAGAGAGTCCGGGGCGGCGCACTGGGATCCATATCCACACTTTGTCACCGGGATGATAAAGTGCGTCACTGCGTCGCTTGTTGTACCGACTAGAGTCGACGCGCTGTTGACGGCGTATTCAGTATCTTGCCATTTGTCGTGCTTCTTCGGCTCTTTGCAAGAAGTCATCTAAGTCAGGTGGATAGCCGTTTCCGTCCAGTAGTGGTAACATGGCATCCAGTGGGGTGGTCACTTTTCGGCCGAATACTAGTTCGAAAGGGGCAACGTGGGTTGTTTCTTGAACGGCTGTATTATATGCGAATGTTACGTAGGGTAATATTTCATCCCACTGTTTATGTTCAACATCGACATACATTGATAGCATGTCGGTCAGAGTTCTGTTGAGGCGTTCGGTTAAGCCATTTGACTGAGGGTGATACGCCGTTGTTCTTCTGTGATCGGTATTTGTCATGCGCATCAGACATTGCATAAGGTCTGCAGCTGTGCCCCGATCCGTAATAACGACGATGGGCGCACCATGTCTGAGCACTATGTTGTTCACAAAGAACTTGGCGACTTCGGCAGCTGTCACACTGTGCAGAGAGTCAGTCTCAGCATAACGGGCCAGATAGTCTGTAGCTATGACAATCCATTTCTTGCCTGCACATGATGTCGGGAAAGGTCCTAGGAAGTCCATGCCGACTTGTTGGAATGGGGCATCTGGAGAGTCTAGTGGATGGAGAAGGCCGGCTGGTTTTACGGCTGGAGTTTTGCGCCATTGACATTGACGACAAGTTTTCACGTAGCGCTGCACTGATGCGAGCAACTTAGGCCAATAGTACTTCACGCGAATCTTGGCGAATGTTCGGCTCACAACCATGTGGCCAGATGTTGGCTCGTCGTGGCATGCATGCAGAATTTCCTGTCGCATGGCTGTGGGCACGACTAGTAAAAACGTTTCGCCATTAGGTTCAAAGTTCCTCCTGTAAAGGACACTTCCTCGAAGGCAGAACGTGGAGAGCCCTCTGGAGAATATGCGAGGAACTTGAACGTCGAGACCCTGCAGGTGTTGTATAAGCGCCAGCAAATCCGGGTCATCTCGTTGTTGTTGAGCGATTTCGGATGCGTCGACAACGCCTAGAAACGGAAAGTCTTCCTCTTCAGGTACACTTGGATCGACGGGAGAGCGTGACAGGCAGTCGGCATCACTGTGTTTCCTTCCAGATTTGTATACGACCGTAATGTCATACTCCTGCAGCATAAGGCTCCATCTGGCTAGTCGACCTGACGGATCCTTGAGATTTGCTAGCCAGCATAGAGCATGGTGGTCACTGACAGCTCTGAACGATCTACTATAAAGGTAGGGTCGAAACTTATTTATTGCCCAGATGACTGCGAGGCACTCTTTTTCAGTAGCAGAGTAGTTTGCCTCAGCTTTTGAGAGTTTGCGGCTGGCATTGGCTAACACTTTCTCTTGACCATTTTGCCACTGGACCAGGATGGCGCCGAGGCCGACATTGCTGGCATCGGTATGGACTTCAGTGTCGGCTGTCTCATCAAAATGGGCAAGTATTGGTGAACCCTGTAGCCGTTTTCTTAATTCATCAAAAACTTTCTGTTGTTCTCTTTCCCATGTGAAGGGCACGTCGTCTTTCGTTAGTTTTGTAAGAGGTTCCGCAATCTTTGAGAAGTTTTCCACAAATCGCCTATAGTAGGCAAATAAACCCAAAAATCGACGCACTGACTTTTTGTCTTTGCGTGTAGGGAACCTCTGAACAGCGGCTGTCTTTTCTGGATCAGGACTAACACCGTCAGAACTAATGACATGTCCAAGGAATCTCAGCTCTTCGAAGCAGAAGTGGCATTTTTCGGGTTTGATTGTCAAGTTTGCGGACCGGATGGCTTGTAATACAGTGCGCAGTCGCTCTAGATGTTTGTCGAAGGTTGCAGAGAATACCACCACGTCATCCAAATGCACTAGGCATGACTGCCATTTCAATCCCGCGAGGACAGTGTCCATCATTCGCTGGAACGTCGCTGGCGCGGAACAGAGGCCGAATGGAAGCGCTTTGAATTCGTAGAGGCCATCTGGTGTTACGAATGCCGTTTTTTCACGGTCCCGCTCGTCTACCTCTATTTGCCAATATCCGCTTTTCAGATCCAAGGAGGAGAAAAACTTTGCGGATCGCAGCCGATCTAGTGTATCGTCAATACGTGGCAAGGGGTAGACATCTCGTTTAGTTACACTGTTGAGTTTTCGGTAGTCGACACAGAATCTAAGCGTGTTGTCTTTCTTCTTAACGAGCACTAC